GCTTCCAGCTCCCTAAAACACTCAAGCCAGCATTCCCCCAAAGGGGATGGAGTCAAATGTGAGAAAAATGAAACTCAGAATAGATTAAGTTTAACCCATAGTGAAAGTAGAGGGAGGGAGGTAGAGAGAGATGGCTCAGCAGAAAAGAGTACTGGCTGCTCTTGCAAGGGACTTGGGTTTGGCCTCCAGAATCCACAGTTCACACTCATCCATAACTCCAGTTCCAGGGGGTTCAGTGCCACCTTCTGACCTCTGAGGGCACCAGGCATGCATGTGATACACACACATACAGACAGACAGACAGGCAGGCAGGCAGACAGTCAGAACACATAAAATAAAGATAAATAAGTCTAAAATAATTTAAAAGAAAGTATAAAGAGAATGTTTTCTTTAAATGACAGACAAATACTTCAAATTTTTCCCTTAAAAGAAAATTTTGCTTTCTGTTGTAATCATTTTATGGTTACCTCTCTTTTTCTTTTTTTAATTTGTTTTGATTTTTTCCTTTTTTTATTTAAATTTGAAACAAGGTTGTTTTACATATCAATCCCAGTTCCCTCACCCTCCCATCCTCCCCTATCACTCCCACCAAACCTCAGCCCATCCCCTTTCTGCTCCTCAGGGAGGGTGAGGACTTCCATGAGGTATCTTCAAAGTCTGTCACATCATTTGGGGCAGGGCCTAGGCCCTCCCCCATGTGTCTAGGCTGAGAGAGTATCCCTCTATGTGGGATGGGCTCCAACGTCCATTTGTAATCTAGGGATAAACACTGATCCATTATTAGAGGCCCCATACACTACCCAGTCCTCCTAACTAATACCCACATTCAGGGGGGTCTGAATCAGTCCTATGCTGGTTTCCCAGCAGTCAGACTGGAGTCCATGAGCTCCCCCTTGTTCAGGTCAGCTATTTCTGTCGGTTTCTCCAGCCTGGTCTTGACCCCTTTGTTCATCACTCCTCCCTGCTGCAACTAGATTCCGGGAGTTCGGCTCAGTGTTTAGCTGTGGGTGTCTACTTCTGCTTCCATCAGCTACTAGATGAAGGCTCTAGGATGGCATATAAGGTAGTCATCAGTCTCATTATCAGGGAAGGGCATTAAAGGTAGCCTCTCTATATTGCTTAGATTGTTAGTTTGATTCATCCTTGTAGATCTCTGGGCATTTCCCTAGTGCCAGTTTTCTCCTTAAATCTATAATGGCTCCCTCTGTTATGGTATCTCTTTTCTTGTTCTTCTCTATTCTTTCCATGTCTCAATCTTCCTGTTCCCTCATATCCACCTCCCCCTCCTCTTCTCCCCTTCTCTTTCTCCTAACTCCCTCTTCCCTCCCTCCATGCTCCCAATTTGCTTTCCCTTTCTCCAGGGGACCATGTATGTCTCTCTTAGGATCCTCCTTTTTTCCTAGCTTTTCTGATGGGTTACCTCTCTTTTTCAAATGGACATTTACATTTATTATTCAAAGAAGAATACCCTTTTATAGTTTGTTAGAGCTTGGATCTGCTCAAAAGGGTAAAGTTTATCCCAACATTACAAGAGTTGGTCTGTTAGTCTTCAGTGCTCCATTGGGGAATGTTGATCTCTTATTCTGGGGACCCTGTGAGGTTGCTCCCAAGAGTTGAGTGACAGTTCTCACACATGAACTTTACAGAAGATAACACTGTTTTGCAGTGTCAAAAGTGTCTCACTCTGTGAGCTTCTGGTTGGGTCTTATGATGCTGTGTGCACAGTCACTTGAAGTACAACTTGCATACAAAGTAGCCGGTAACCAATCATGAAGTCCAAAGTTCAAAATGCAGATTTGAAAAAAAAATATCACTGCCATTCACATGGGTGATGATAAGTATTTTGGACATTGGCTAACAATATGGCATTATGTTAGAAGACATACTCTTTCTAAATGACACAGCTCACTGGACTACGAGTCTTCCTTCCATCTGCCATTCAGTGAATGTGCTCATATCCTTAGCCAGGTCAACTCAGATCATCTTGAACAGTTTGTTCTCCTCAGATGCTCCCTGGATCAGTTTCTAGCTCTAAGCATTTCTGGATGGAGCTCATGGTTTCCATTCCATAAACTCTGAGCCATGAAGCCACCCATCATGAGGGAAGGATGAGGGGAGTTGGCATGAGGACTGGTTGATTCTTCCTGCTGAGCCTCAAAAGTGACAGCACAGTTTGCAAGAGAGGAGAGAAAGATGAGGCTTCAAGACTTGGAGGAGAACAGAGTGAGGCTGGGAACACACAGCCAGTGCTTGGATGAAAAGGACATATGGTCACAGGAAGAACGGCAGTCTTAGGGACCTGTCTTCAGCTGTCCCTCTTGCTGGGACAGTGTCTGTTACTTCCTAAAGCTGGAACCACATTAGGGGACCTGAGGTTTTAAATAGCTGATGGTGTCACTGTAAGAAAGCCCATGACTCGCAGTGAAGTCAACTTTCACTGCCAGTAAACATGTTTCTTCATGTAGACCTTGAAAAATGAGCCAGACCCCAAAGACAGGTTTCCATTTGAGAGTTCAACCATGATTTGCTCATAACATATTTTAGTTACATAGACAACATCACTGTGAAAGCAGACTGAGGTGGCCCGCCTATCAATATTTCAGGCTTCTAGTTCTGTAGGAGTTAACAGGCCTTCCTAATGCCTAAGCCTTGGCTGTCATTAGAGACAGCCATGGGATTTATACAACACACAAAATGTTCTTACCAATACAACTATGAATTTTTTTTCTTGGAAATGACTTAAGTAATCAAGTTTCTAAACCAATCAGAACACAACTTTATACCAGAAGGTTATTTGAAAAGAGCAAATGCTATCTCTCAAATTAATCAAATGTCAGTTGTGTAGCTTGAAAAAATATTATAATTTTTGACTTTTTAAAAAAATGTATTATCTATTTTCTTCTCATTCACAAATCATTTCTGAATTTGGCACTTTACTGAATGTGATGATCCTGTATTCCTGATGTAAGCCATGTGTTTCTAAAGTGGACAAATGTCCACTTTGGCTTGTAGATTCATTTGTGGCTCTTTTCCATTTGCCTACTAAAGACCCGTTCATTCTACAGCCCTAATTCCTGAAAAGCAACCAGCTCAGTTTGAACCATGCAACTCTCCTCCTCGGGCTGTATTTCTGACTATTTGAACCACGTTGTTCTCCTTCTCAGTCTGTATTTGATTAGCAGCTACAGAGAACTGCTTTCAGTCAAAGCTTACAGTGAACACTACCACTTGTGAAGCAGGCAGGGGGCACTTAACCTTCCCCACAGTTTTAGAGAGAAGTATGTTGGGGAAGAGAATTAATCACAGACAAAATCCCACCTATGGGCTTCCTCATGAAATCTGTCAGTATGGTATAAATGGGCAGACAGTCTACATTCAGACGTGAAAGATATCTCTCAGCTTCTGGAGTCCTCTAAGACAGACAGGGGATATTTATCTCCTGAAGATGTGAGAAGTGACACACTAGTATAGAGTATGCATTAAAACCATCATCACAAAACAGAGGCACATTCATAAATCATAGTCATTAGCATCTGACTCTAATGATTAAAGTTAAAATCAGGCAGATGGTGATGTGCAAAAAGGTTAACACTTGAATAAATGATTCAGTAGTTCCCGGAAATTTCCAGCCGGTGTATTATTTATGTAATTCTCAAAGTCTAAATATTTCTATTTTGGATGCTGTGTAGCCAAACACATTTATTTCTGAGCAATGAAGCAAATCAAACAAGGTTGATTAAAAATAAACTTTTATGCCTAAAATTTATGCTCTCAGACTTATGTATCATTCAAGTTGCACCCAGGACTGCTCTGTGCTGGTGATAGATGATGTAGAGTGGAACTCAACGTGACTAAGCATGACCCTTGCAAAGAGGTTTTTGTATTATAGATTTTTTTCCTCCATTTAACACTTCAGAAGTTAATTTCTCATCATATTTTTTGTCAAAGCAGATGTGATGTTAAAGCACATAAATAGAGGATGAGAAATTGTAAAATTAAGTTCCTGTCACAGGATGTCACTGCTGTGGATAACTCACCAGACTGCAGAGGAAAAAAATGTTCCCTCATCTCCTAGGTCTCTGATCTACGTCACCTCGGGTGCTTTCATTCCAGGGCGGATACTTCTAGACTACCCGTGGGATACAGCAAATGCTAAGACCATATTGGATTTCCACAAGCTGAATTAGCAGAAAATGAAGATAAAATGCTTTCCTATTTCTGAACATGATGATGTTTTAATTGCTTTAGCATTTGGCATGTCTAATGTATACAGTCCTTGACGTTCATGCAGTAACAAAGGAGAGCTGCTTGAGAATTTTCTTTTATTTCCTAGCATCCCCTTCTCATGTTTCTCCCACCCCCACTCTGCTCCTGCCTTTCACTCTCCTCCCATCTCTTCCTCCTTCTATTCTCTGCAGTTAGGATGCATGTAAAAATAACTCCTCTCTGTATAGATGGCCAAGGCTGCTGTTACCTAGCTGTGATGTACAGACCACCATCGCTGTGACAACTGATGTGGATGCCTCCGGGTGAAACAAAGGTTTATACATTACACAGCAATTTAACTGCTTTCTAAACATATTGCCAAGACAGCGGGAGCTGGCACCCAGCAGTACGTTTTAGGTTTTGGTGAGCTGGATTAGAAGTAACTGTTGATTGTGAACTGTTTTTATTTGTCTCCTATGCACTACAAGCAACCTCGTAACTCAGTAAGGAATTCCTCATAGCATTTAAAGCACTCTCCCTAGTTTCCCAAGCTTATATGTTCAAATCTGACGAAAGTGGCGTAAGAGTCCTATGCATAGATAACTGCCCAGACAATTGTCCTGTTCTAACCTTTAAAGAGCCACACAGAGAAATGTTTTATGATCCTCTTCTGTGCAGTGGGCACAGGACAAAGATAACCCAGAACAATGAAGAGACTTTTCAGGGTTCCGGTTGAAACACAATAAAGAACATAATTAACTTCACAATTCTTTTTGTTTTCCATTTGACTACAGGGAGGAGATGAAAGGGGCCTGCTAAGCCTTGCATTCCATCCCAATTACAAGAAAAATGGAAAGCTGTATGTGTCTTATACCACCAATCAAGAACGGTGGGCTATCGGGCCTCACGACCACATTCTTAGGGTTGTGGAGTACACAGTATCCAGGTACCCCTAACTAATGTGCATGGAAGCCTACAACCTCTGAGGCATTGTTTACTCTTCATCTCACAAACTATTTAGAAATGATTGCAATGAATTGGTAGTAATTAAAGCAGAACCTTCTCATAGCTTAAAACACATACATGTGTGTTTGTGTGTGCATCTGTGTGTGTGTGTGTGTGTATAAGGGAAATCAAGTAAAATAATGTCTTAGGTATTTTTCCTCAATTATATTCAATTTTCAATGACATCCCTAAATGTAGAGATTAATGTAATTTTTCAGTAATTCTGATTAGCTCTGTTGTAAAAGTCATTCTGTCAGCATAGCTTCCTCTCCATTGGATTCGCATTATGCCCGGAAAATCATGGTGCTTTTCCTTCCATCATGCAGAAAAAATCCCCATCAAGTTGATGTGAGAACAGCCAGGGTGTTTCTGGAAGTTGCTGAGCTCCATCGAAAGCATCTTGGAGGACAACTCCTGTTTGGTCCTGATGGCTTTTTGTACATCATCCTTGGGGATGGTATGATCACACTGGATGACATGGAGGAGATGGATGGGTTAAGGTAACAGACTGCTTACCAACAAGTACTCTTTGACATTCACATGCTTTCAATGCCAGGACACGGGGTCTGAACCAGCAACTGGGAACCATGTCTGATGATTGAATCCATGGCTATTTTATGCTGATGGGTCACTTGGCTTTGTCCTAAAAAAAAAAAAAAAAAAAAAAAGTTGTTGCTGCCTGTGACACAAAGCCTTGGGGAAGGCACCTTTTCCTCTGGGCCCAGCCGCTGGGCAGTATACTCTCCCCAACCCCATGCATCCATGCTGCTGCTCCACCCTCTGCTAATGAGCAAGCTGATGTCTTGGGGACACAAAACACATAGACTGGCAAAAATTAAAAAGAACAGATTTACAAAAACATAAGCAGCATACTATGGCATATCCTTGGCCACCCTCCATCTGTACCCAAACTGCCCCTCGTCTCCCTCCCTGCCATATGGAATTTGGAAATCAAGTAATTTTGAGTCAAATGAGGGGATGATTTCTTTTCTCCTTAGAGAAACTTCACCCTGTGTACGCAAATGAAACACACAACCCGAATGTGAAGTACTCACTCCCCTCCAATTTTTCAGTGATTTCACAGGCTCTGTGCTGAGGCTAGATGTGGACACCGACATGTGCAATGTGCCTTATTCCATACCACGGAGCAACCCCCACTTCAACAGTACCAACCAACCCCCAGAAGTATTTGCCCATGGACTCCATGATCCAGGCAGGTGAGGACATCTGCCTACCTTCTCCCTACTTTCAAAAGCAAAACGACAAAATTTGAGATCTAGGAAGACAAATAGGATGTCTGACCACAAAGTAGCAAGGGGTGGTAGCCCTTTGTACTTCTGAAATCATAGGGCGCTATTAACTAAGCAAGCATTTAGCCCACTTTCTAGCACTTATCTGTGAAGGCTGTTAAAAAAGATTAAACAAGAGAAAATACAAGTTCTTAGAGAAAATTGGGGGGGGGGGGGGTTGCTATTAGATACACTTTGGCTTTCTTTTGTTCTTTTTTCTTTCTTTCTTTCTTTCTTCCTTTCTTTCTTTCATACCTCTAAACTTCACTTTCCTATTGGCTTAGTCTGTTTTATGTTGCTTCAGCATGAAGAGGCATACTGGGTAATTTGGCTCACAGATCTGAACGCTGGGCAGTCTGAGCCCATGGTACCAGCATCTCAGTGTCTGCTGAGAGGCTTCTTGCTTCTACAGCTCATGGTAGAAGGTGAGAGCAAAAGAGAGGGAGGGAGGCAGAAAAGTTGCCAAACTCATCCTCCTGTGAAGGACTCACTCGTAGGGTAACCAGCCCCCCCCCCCCAAAACAGTAGCATGAGTGCATTGGTGAAAGTAGTGTTCTCATGACACCATCATCCCCTAAAGGTCCCATCTGCCCTATTGACAGTACTGGAGACCAAGGTGCCAGGATGTGAGCTTCACATGATACATTCAGACAATACCACATGTGCTAAACAGGAGTGGCGACAAGTGTGTTCTAAGGGCCCTGCCCAAATTATATAAAAGAATCACAGATAGAGTCCAGATCCGGGCCTTGTGCCTCCCCACCAGGCAGCTCTTACTGCCATGGTTTCACTTAATACAAGATGATGTAGCGTTAATTTGCAAGGAACTGAGGTAAATGTTAGTGTCTCTCATGCTTTAAAAACTTACAGATACTAAAGGAATCCATGTTGGCAGTTCTCTTCTTATGCTATAATGAACCATAAAGAACAGAAAAATAAGAAATCTATAGAATGAAGGGTTTCGGGCACACTTTTAAAATTCTATGAACTGTAACTGAAATTCTCTGATGAAAACCCCTTCTAGTCTGGCCTATCATTCAGACTAAGGGGTATGTGGTCACATTCATTCATTTACTAGCTTAGTTATTATTGCTATTTAATGTTTATTAAGTGTTCACTATGTGCAAGGTGAATATTTCTCAACCTTTTTATTTTTATAATCCCTCATGCCCTTCATCTTTCCTCCATCAAAGCCCAAGTCCACAGTTCATTTCCTTTTTGGCATCTCCACAGATCTTAAAATCTGTTCAGCAGGGAATACTTAAGGTGGGGTCAGGATGTGGAGGAAACTGTCACATTCCATTCCTATAGCTCAGAATGCACAGACACCACAACGCAGCACTTTGAAGTGAAGCAGCCTAAGTCACCACCCTCCCACCAGAGCGTTCCTGCAATGTTCCTGGGGGTCCAAGCCTCAGTGCAAAAACAGGGTGAGGCGCTTTCCAGACCCTACGCGTGGCACGGTGCCTGTGCCATGGAGCCTTGCTTCCTCTGGCAACTGAAGGCTGAAGAAAAATTCTGTCTGTATTCTGCTTCTCTTGCAGAGAATCTCAGACAGAGAAAGATTAAATGAAGAGAAAAGAAACTGAAGCCATCATTGGCTAAAAGCAAAGCTGACTGTCATTAGCACCCTCCATAGGGTGCTAGACTAGGTATCCCTGTTGGTAGTGCTCTGGTAGCTGTTCGGGTAGCACCTTTTTAAACTTTTCATTTGTGTGTGTGGTGTGTTTGCACACCCACACTTACACACATAGAGGCTAGACCACAGAGGGCCCGATGCCTCCCTCCTTTTCTCTATTTTTCAAGACAGATGTTACTGAGCCTGCAGCCCAATATTTCAGTGAGAGTGACTGCTCAGCAAGCTTTGTCTTTTCTAATACACACACACACACACACACACACACACACACACACACACACACACACCCGACTCCCAATACCAGGGTTATAGGCTTTTGGCATGTCTGACTTTTACAAGAATGGTAAGGAATCAAACTCAGATCCTCTTCATCCTCAGCATATTCTCTTGCCCACTGATTCAAGTCCCCAGTCCTACATCTTCTTTTTTAGGTTCACAGTAAAGTGACCATAAGGTACAAAGAGCAGCGGTAAGCCCTATACCCACATTAACATAGCCTCTCCCCCCTTATCATCATGCCCAGTAGAATGACTTTCAATGAACAACTAAGGAGACATCGTTGGCACATCAGATGTCCCTGGTTGACAGTACACCCACTCTGTGCTGCTTTTAGACAAATGGGTGGACACAGATGTCCTTATCTTAGCCTCACCTGGTTAGCTTTACATCCGGTTTCTTTTCATCTGAGAAGCTGAAGGTGAGAAGATGGAGTAGAACTCACAGCCCCTAGCAGCTCACCTCAGAGAAAGCATGCCTCTGCTTCAACACATTGGCTGCTTCAGGTTGGAGATAAGTCAAACTTCTTTTTGTCATACATTCTTGATCTTCACAAAAAGAACCTAGAAAAAAAATCCTCTCACCCTGTGGGACTAAACTACTAAGTCACAGCATGCCTGTGTCTCCATTCATACCAGACACTGTGTTGTAGGTGTAGAACTGTCCCAGCTCCTGCTTCTTTATCATGAATCAGCTGGTTGGAGCCCTCGGTTGGTTTTATTGTAATAATCGCTAAATGGCTCTCCATCTCTGAAGCCCCTACTCTTCATTTTTTTAAAAAACATTTTTCATTTATTTAAAACTCAATGGTTTGGCTTATAAGTAGTTAATGTATTTTGTTGGCCCAAACAGCATTCTCAATGGAATGTTTTTGCCTCCAGGGACATTTGACAATGTCTAGAAACAGATTTGTATTTCACAATTGGGATGAAAGGGGCTAAGAGCTGGGCAACACTACTGTCATCTAATGGGTCAAGTCCAAGGAGATTGCTAAGAATCCCATAGTTCACAAAATGGTACCCCTCACCCCAGAACAAAGGTTACATGGACCCAACATGTCAAGAAGCCTGTTTTTTTGTTCGATTTTTATTTGCTTGTTGTCTTGTATTTTTCGAGAAGTTCAGACATTGCCACTAGGCTTCATTCCCCCTCCAATCCTAGCCTCTTATTCACTTGAGCATGCTGGGAATTTTGTGGTCTCTTAAACCTAGAATAGGTAACAGTAATACAGTGACTCCCCCCCCTCAGTGGTTAGAACCACGGAGATATATTGATCTCCACGTCAGGTATGCAGGACATGAAGACAGGCAGAGGAGTTTTATTTTGCTATAGCTCCCAGGGTATTATAGCGTAACCATTCCAGAACTGGTGAGATCACTCAGAGGGTAAAGGCATTTGCCACCAAACTGAGTTCAATCCCAGCAGCAGAAGGCAAAGGAAACCGACTTCCATAGATTGTTCTCTGACCTCCACACAATATATACTATGGTGTGTGTTCATGCAGGTATGCACGCATGCACATATGCGGCACACACACACACACACACACACACACACACACACACGTTAGCATTCCAAGTAGGAAACACAACTAGTTCTAAGGCTAATATATTACATACATTGTGTGGCACAGTTGATGGTAGCATTGATTCATATTTCCAACCTCTGCCAATGTGCTATGCATGAGGTAATCCTTACCGATAGGCTAACAAAGGTTTTTAAGATGATGAGCACATTCATTAGAAGAAAGATAGCCAGAAAAATTAAGAAACAACACTCCTGAGGTCATTGGCTGCAGCAGGGTAAACAAACACATCAGATGTTTCCTTTGCTGGTTTCAAGAACACTCTAACTAAATTGCTCATGGGACTCTGGCCAGCCCACAGAGCGGCCCTTTCTATGTCATGAAGACCCTGGTAGGAATTAATGAGTGTCTGCCTCCTTTATTGTGTAGATGTGCTGTGGATCGACATCCTACTGATAGAAACATCAATTTAACAATACTTTGCTCAGATTCCAATGGGAAAAACAGATCATCGGCCAGAATCCTACAGATAATAAAAGGGAAAGATTATGGTGAGTCAAGCCTGTGGTGGTTGCTGTAGGTGAAGATTGGTTTTAGTATATTAATTGGAGAAAAGGGAGTCTGCATAATGAGCATTTGAGAAAGCATAAAAACAGTGGCCTCTGTCAGGCCAGTGAGTAAATTGCTCCGTTTTTTTTAAAGGTTCAAGGACTCCTCCAAGCCCTGAGGGTTACTCTGCTTAATTGCCTTTCCCATGGATTGCAGTCTTCCCTGTGGGTTCAAATAGTTTAATGGTCTCAAAAGTCAGTGGCTTGCATTTTGCTCATCTGAGACTCAAGGTGGGGAACTTCTCTTTATTCCCTCTTATATGGGGGAACTTGTCTTAGCATCTTATATGCAGACAAATAAGTTTAGAGGGAAGACATTGCTGAACATTCAACATGCAAGTCTCAGCAATTAGGAAAATAAAGTTTCTAATAAAAATAATTTTAAAATGGGTTTCTTTTAGAGAAAACAAAGTAATTGACTTGTAAAAACATGTCATGGGAATAAAATGTTTAAACATTATTTTTAATAACATGATTACTGGGGTATTTACAGAGAACTTAAAAACATAAAGTTGGATAATGAAGTCCAAAACACTGAATTATTTTCAATGCTGTGTTCATACTCCTTTTGAAGGCCACAGTATAGTAAGCATTTTTATGACTTAGGGAGCACAGGAGATTGAAATTATTAAACCGATTGCTCCTTCTGTTTACTCATTCAACAGAGCTATTTATTTTAGCACTAGGAGTAGGGAGGGCAGCTGTGTTAGTTCATGCAGTATTCGGTTATTTTTCTCTCTCTCTCGCACGTGTGTGTGTGTGCGCGTGCGTGCGTGCGTGCGTGCGTGCGTGCGTGTGTGTGTGTGTGTGTGTGTGTGTGTGTACATTTATGTACACTTTAAAAAGCCAAATGAAAGAATAATGTTACTTGGGGAAAAAAGTCTAACAAGCTACTAATTCAATGGATTTGGGCTATATCGGGAAATTAAGCTAAATTCTACTAACCACATTAAGTTCCAGGCAAGACCAGTTAAAGTATTAATAGCCTTGCATTTGCATATTTTTAAAACACATCCAAAGTGCACCGCAGCTCCCTCTGTGAACACATTCACAGAACCCTGTAGGTGATAGGCACTGTCATCAGCCACATTGTACAGAGGGGGGACACTGAGGTACAGAAAGGTTAATTATCAAACTAAAATTTAACAACAAAGGGTGGATTTGAACTGCAGCAGCCTAACTTAGTCATTCAACAGTGCCTTCTGTCTGGTGTAGGGTATTTAAAACTGGTCTTTTCCATGCTTTGTTTTATCATAGTCATACCAGAAGAATAGAACCTTTAAAATGACTGTGTTGCCACAAAGTCACCTGAATAAGGTACCTACTGGTGTTGTGACTTATTTGACAGTAAAAGCATCCCCAAGTGAATATGCCACATATGATTCAAAGGAACTCCTGAAGCTGCATTTGTTAACCTCACAACTCCATAAACTAAACTATTATGGTGCCTTAAGTCAAGATATTACTCGACTGAGTGACAGTGTTTCTACGAATACAGTAAATGTGGACTTGAAGACCTTTTACATGATATGGTTTTATATTTCATTAAAGTGTGAAATTTAAAACATTTTAAAACATTTTATAATTTGATAGGTTTGTTTGATTTACTAAATGCAAGCAGAACCAATTTTAGAGATGTTAATTGTTCAAAACTCAGGCTTTAAAGTATTTTTTTCTATAGTAAATAACACTGATTTCAAAATATCTAGTTTTGAATTGTGTTAGAATCTTGATGTGTTCTGACTGATAACAATTAGCAATCACCTGATGGGCAGGTTTATTTTGTTAAACTTACATTTTGGTGCTATTTAAGCAGTTTCATTATCCTTATTAGTATATCTGGAAAAGGTCCATATCTTGCTTTTTGAAACACAATTTGGAATTAAATTATTATAATACTCAATAATTGATCTGTATCACTTTTACTTCTGAAAATGTCTCATTTGCTCTAATGATTTTTTTTTCAGAAAGTGAGCCATCCCTTTTAGAATTCAAACCATTCAGTAATGGCCCTTTGGTTGGTGGATTCGTTTATAGAGGTTGCCAGTCTGAAAGACTGTATGGAAGCTATGTTTTTGGAGATCGCAATGGGTATGTTTCTGAATGCTACAGTTTCTTGTATTGTTTGGCACACTACGAAAAATTATTCAAGTGGCTATCCCCCACATGTCAGACCTTGGACACACACAAAGGTTATTACTTCCTTGTGTTTTGCCTCATCTAAAAGCTTAATTGTAGAGATACTTCTAAAAAGATTCTTCAATAGGTTCAGTCACTTCTATGGGATAATGTTCAAAGGCAAAGAAGTCTTGTGAGGGACTTTCCACTTATTTTGACTGTTCTTTTTATCCTCAACCTAATTACAAAACTTGTTTTATGGGAATTGTAAAAGCTGTTTTAAAAATTACCCTGGAAAGCTCAGAATTCTGGCAGTGCCAAATTCGTGGGGCTTTGTGCAGCGGCATACAATCCATCTATGTAGTAGTTGCTATAAGGGGCTGGTGAAATCCATGCTTCTTTCTGGCACTCACCCTCAGCGTCTGCAAGAGACAGGGGACTGACCATGCCTACCCTGTGTTTTACCTACCCTTCTTATACTGGTTTCAGCTGTGCAGCCTATGGTTGAGACCGGCTTTCTCTTACTTGACCTTTCCAGGATCCTTTCCAAACCCCATCTTATCTTTGAGTCCTGTATCCTCATGTGGTATTTTCACAGTTCCTGCACAGGACAAAGTAGTGCTCCCACACAGTACAGGAGTGCTCTCATACAGGATAGATCAATACTCCCACACAGGACAGAACAGTGCTCCCTCCCACACAGGGTAGAGCATACTCTTCCCTTGAGAAGCAATAAATGTCTTTGTGTGGGGGGCAGGGAGGAAGTCTTTATCACAATTTCTATTTTAAAACATTTTAGGATGCCACATAAGTCATGGTGTGTTTTCACTGTAGGTTTGTGGTGTGTTTTGTTATAGGAATTTCTTAACTCTGCAGCGAAGTCCAGTGACCAAGCAATGGCAAGAAAAGCCACTCTGTCTAGGCACCAGCGGTTCCTGTCGAGGTTACTTTTCAGGTCACATCTTGGGATTTGGAGAAGATGAACTAGGTACCATATCTACTTCCCCATTGAGTTCTAGTTTCACTCCTTGCTTGGGAAGCTTTGTTGTCTTATAGAATAAAGGTCTCATCTTACATGTGTTGGACATGTACCCCACAGCAAGGGTGACCTCCATAGAATCTCAAGATAGTACAGTTAGACCTTCCTTCCCAACAACCTTCCCCAAGGATCTTCATACCTGGTTTATATTTTGGAAATATTAAAGTAGCAAAACAGAAAAAAAAAAAGGCAGAAACAAGAAAAAACATAAGTTCCAAATGTTTTCATACCTACTGATATTTCTTGCTCTGTGCTATGACAGTCCTTTTATTTTCTATGTAAAAACAGTCCCACTTGCCCATGCCACTTTAATGTATTTTAGAAAGCAAACCCTGAATGAAGCTAATTTACCCTCTCTATTGTTAACTTATTTATTTTTCCCATTTGAGAATAAAATTTGTGTGAGATAATCTGAGGGCTATAGATCATTGCCAACAGAACAGAGGTAATCTTACTGGCCAGTATGTGACAATGTTTTTGGCATATTTATTAATGTATGGAGACTGTGTGTATTGAAGGCCTCATCACTGTGCTGTGGTGCTATTAGGAGACGGTGGCACCTTTAACAGGTGAGCCTCAACGTGAGGAAATTGGTGCTCTTTAAAAAAGAACTTAGATTTATTGTATTATTTTATATTCATGGTGTTCTGCGTCCATATGTATACACCATGTACATGCTTGATGCCTATGAAGATCAGAAGAGGATGTCAGGTTCCTGGCGACTAGATGTATACATGGTCATGAGGTGGCATGTGGGTGCTACGAATTGAACTAGATCCTCTGCAAGAGCAACAGGTGCCCATTTTAACCTCAGAGCCATTGCTCCAGCTCCCAAATTGGCTCTCTTGAAGAGAGAGTTGGAAACTTGTTTTTGTCTGTATCTTTGCTCTCCGGCTGCTGTGTGGGCAGGAGATCTTCTTCTTTGCCTACACTTCTGTAGTGGTGTGTCCCAAGTAACAGAGATAGGTTAACACCATTGCAATCCCTAAAACCAAGAGCTAAAATAAAAAGTATCTCCATTAAATAAATAATAAATAAATAAATAAAATACATAGGAAGCCTAACGAGAAGGGAGTTGGAATTGGAGTCTGATTAATTGGAAAGTGAAATTGTGCACTCTCCACTGTTTTAAATTATAGACTTCAGTGTAACTTTTGTGGTATTTTACTTAACTACACCCTAACAAACCATGACGACTACAGTCCTTCAGCTTCAGAAATGAATTTTAAGACATAAAAAGAAAGAATGTTTCTTTCCTAAGTCAGAATACTCTCTCTATAATGAAAGTACAGGTTGATTTTCTTTATACATTAAATGGGAGAAATCAACACAAATAGTTACATGCCATTCACTTAGATTAGTAAGGAACTCAGGCAGCTCTCTCCAAAATACATAGGAAGTATTTGAGAAACATTGGGATATAATAATTAGGACAGGGATTTGTCTGCTCTTGCTCCAGAGTGTAAGCATTTTTTTTTTCCCGAGATGGAGTTTCTCTGTGTAGACCAGGCTGCCCTCTAACTCAGAGATCCTTTGTCTCTGCCTCCAGAGTACTGGGATTAAAGGCAGGCACCACCACCACCCACCATTCCCAGTGAAAGCATTTTATATCTGGGTTTTTTCTTTGATGAATTTCTACCCCCACTCAAGGGAGTCAGAAAGATAAGAGTCAAGCTTTGTAGAATAATTTAAATGTCATAGGCAGACTTTAATTTTGGGAATAACTAGGGCTATGGGTGGGCATTGGTGGTAGAGCACTTGGCTAGAACACTCGAGACTCTGGGTTTTCACAAGAAAGAGGGAGAAGGAGAGGAAGAAGACAGAGCAGGAAAGAAGGAAAAGGAAGGAAAGATAGAAGGAATGGGAAGGAGTGGGGGGCCGCAAGAAGGAACGAAGGGAGGGGTTTATCTGGGCAGCTTCACACTTGACCTAACTTAAGCCATTTCACTCTTGAAAACAATTACTGGGTAAGAACAAACCTGCAAACAGAGGTAGAGACAGGGGCCCCAGGGGAGGAGGCTGTTGGCTGTGATCCAGGTGAGGAGCAATATCCTCCTGAACAGGAATAGTCTGAGGATGGGGGCAGGTGACTAGGCTCAGGTCCAGTGCAGAGGAGGACTCATGACTGCTGTCACAGCCTTAGGTATAGGGTCTTCCTGAGGCTAGATGGAGACCCATGATATCTGCTTGGCTATGATGCCATGCTATGAATTCATTCTGTACTATTTCTCTTTTCAACAGGAGAAGTTTACATTTTATCAAGCAGTAAGAGTATGACCCAGACTCACAACGGAAAACTGTATAAGATCATAGACCCCAAAAGGTAAAACTTCTTTTTTCTGTTATTCCAGGTCTTTAGTTCACACTAAGGTGTTATAGAAGAGATGTAGTTTGTGATGGGCTGGAATGAATGAACATTCTACCCTTCCCATCACAGACAGCTGCACTTGACCTAGAAGGACTTGAAAAGCTCATTCATATTATTCTTTTCCTCCCAATGTAGAGCCAACATTCCCAGTTAAAAATCAGGAGAGGACTCTAAAACATGCAGGACACTGGCTTCAGCTCTCAAGTTAGAAAAGAACAAACCTTTTAATTTTGAGAAAGTGAGAGATGTTCTGGTGGATATTGCCCTTCTTAGTATGATTTTTTGTTAGATAGGCAAGATAAGTTATCTTAACAGTTCAACAAACGAACCTCATTTCAAAATGACCAGCCAGTTCATAGCACTCATGAAGCCTGTTTGATCAAGCCAATGAAAGCTAAAGGACTGTTTCATTATTTGCTTCAGTAAAAGGAAGGTTTGAAGATTATATTTTGGTGGCTTAGTAGATAAAATGTTGCCTTGGAAGCATAAGGACAAGAGTTCAGATCCCCAGAACCCACATAAATGTGGAGTGGAATGGTAGCTATCAAGGAGGCAGAGGCAAGGCATTGCCAAGGCAGACTGCCTGGCTAGACCAGCCAAACAAGTGAGCTCCTGGTTCAGCCAGAGACCCAGTCTCAGTAAAGGAAATAGAAAATGATCAAGGAAAATACGTTAACATCTGGCCTACACACACACACACACACACACACACACACACACACACACACATACTTGCATACACATATACCCACATACATGTGAACATGCACACACAGATACATGCTTAACACGTGTGTGTGTGTGTGTGTGTGTGTGTGTGTGTGTGTGTGTGTGTGTGTATTCTGCGGCTGTTTCCTCCCCGTCTACCCATCTCAATGTTGGCACACACAGTTCTCCTGTGGTTCCAATCACCATTCATCAGTCATGATTTTCAAGTATGAGAGCTGAACTTTCTGAAACTGTTAAAATTGCATGCTACCACATGGATGTCAGTCATAAGGAACTAACCATTTTTATAGATACAAATAGTTAGTGACTAACTAGCACTCCTTACTCACTAACCCCATGCAGCAAACTTCAAACTTCTTTGAAGTTTTTCTCAAGAGAATCAATTCTAGTGATGGGAAAGGTTAGCCAAAGGTATTGACACCATTCAACTCTTAAAATATTATTTGTAAGCTGTCAATTGTGTTTTCCTGGGAAAGCAACGATCTAGTGACTGGGCAGACTACCTTTTCTCTCACCACAAAACATTTCCTTTCCTGAGAAAGCTACAGGTTAGCATTGGCTACTGCACAACGAAGAGGAGAACCCATGAGAAAGGAGAAGTAGTCCCTGTCCCCTGCTCACTGAGAGCATGACCTTTCTTCTTTACAACAGGAGACATGCTTATTGTCACATATGGAGTTGCAGTGAGGTTTTTCCTCTGTATGTGTGAAATCAGTGTCGTCTTTGAGAAAAGAAAAGAAATGAAAAACTATCAGACATGTAGGAGGGTGCTGAAACTGGCAACAGTACAAATACAAGCCAAACTTGTGTGAACTGCTAACACAGAGCGCTGCAATGACCTCAGTGCAGGCGTGGGCTTCCACCTGACCTGTGGCAATTACTTTCAAAATGGTTACTGTTGCTCCATTATGTTGTCAAAATTGATCGGTTTCTGAAGCTTCCCCACAGTAGGGTAATGAATTCTCTCCTTACCCCTACCCTCCCTGCCACACACAAAATCTCTCTTGATCTGGATTGTTTAGTCTGTTGGAGAATAGAAGTGAAGTTTACACCTTCAATCTATTATTAGGATCTAATTATCAGGGTTGCCATGAGTGACCTTGGCTTTGTGATCTTAGGGACCCCTCTAGTAGGGTGGTCTCAGAGTGACATACCTGAAGGCCTGGCTCCTCATTATGGGGCTGTTTCTGGTGATTCATGTCATGGGTGGGGGAGGGGAAGGGGTTAAGATCTGTGTTTGCTTTGCAGAGGTGGGAAAGTAAGAGAACTGCAGAGACCCACCCTCCTCCATGGGTATCAGCGTATTCTAAATTAGACCAAGTGCAAGGGAGCTAATGTTTTCGTAAATGCCTGTGGGGACCCTCTTACTGTTTTGATGTGAATGCCAGTGATTATTATTGCAGTGTTTTCCCAAAAAGGACTGGTACATGAGCAGACACTTGTGTGTAGACAGGATTATTTGGGGCTACACAAGTTAATTGCTAATATAGCATGTTTAAGAGGTCAGGCAGAGTAGAAATGTCTTTTTAAAACTGAATAAAGAACATCATCAACTTTATAAACATATATATATATATATATATATGGATATGCCTTGTTATTTCAAAAATCTAACAGATTGAATGGTTAAGTTCATTGTCTTCTTATAGAGAAGCACCTAGATTTGTTAGAATATTTTCAAAATAGCTTTCATATGTTATGGATTCATGACGCTGGGAGAGACAAGTACTAAATTGCAATTTATCATATTTTTATATAAGGCATCATAGAAGTTATGTACTTAACATAGTATTTATGCTACATTTTCTTACACACACACACAATGAACTTAGAAATAAAAATGTAATAACTCTTTTTTTTAAAGATTTTATTTATTTATTTATTTATTTATTTATTTATTTATTTATTATGTATACAGTGTCCTACCTGTATATGTACATTTATGCCAGAAGAGGGCACCAGATCTCACCATAGATGGTTGTGAGCTATCATGTGGTTGCTGGGAATTGAACTCAGGACCCTTGGAAGAGCAGCCAGTGCTCTTAACCTCTGAGCCATTTCTCCAGCCCCAAAAATGTACTAACTCTTAATCAAATTTGGGAACACATGTGAGGTTCTAGTGTTGCCAATCCAGTCTTCAAGTACAGTTTAGTCTAAGGCTGTAAAGGGCAGAATCACAATAAGTTTTCAATTATTTATTGTGGAGCAGCTCCCTTAGAAGAAGGTCTTTTTAAAAAGTAAAGATCATTAAATTTTAATTAATAACTTCTAAGTTAATATATAAAGTAATAGGCTTCTTGTACATTTTATGCTCACATATATTTGTATGTTGCTCCTCGCACTGCCCATTACCCTTCTTTCTTCCCCTCCCCCTCTCCAAGAGGCCATCATCTATAATGAAAATTTAAAATGAAAGATGGCCAGCTTTCCTAAGTTACTTAGGGAAAAGCCTTCCCTGGAGAGACAGTACAAGAGTGGAAATGTACAACACACTTCCAGGACATCGTCAGAGCTGGGATGTTACCTCTCATGTCAGAATGGAATTGGGATCTAACCAACAGCTTAGTCAATTTTGAGTTCCTAAACTCTCTTGCACTCAATTCAGTGTGTCCCATGATCTCCCCGTGGAGCTCTACCAGTTGTTAGGTGGTATCATAGGGGCAGGCATAGATGCACAGACTATAAGATTTGGGTAGTGGGCCTCCTTTCACTAGGAGGTACTGAATTTTGTTTCTGAGTCTTCCTTGAAATTCAACAGCACACAGATCGTTACTGTGCTGTCCCTTAGCCCGCCAGAAACTTGTACATGACCATTGATTATCTCTTGTCCCTTGACTACATGGGGCTCTGAAGTTAGCTGAATAATGCATTTAATGCGTATTCTAATCTCTAGTCTTGTCAGGCCTCATTCTTTGCATTCCATAATTAATTTCAGGTGCTTTCTCAACTTTTAAGTTTCTCTCACTTCCAAAATTAGGATGCAGGTGTCCAGGAAGCTTAAAAAAGCTCTGAACAAATACATTCAGGTCGTCATTCCTTACGTGCTTGCTCTTTATTAACTCTTTTCAAACTTAATCAAATGTTTTGGGGGTGGGGTGTGAGATGGCTCAGCAGGCAAAGAAGCAAGCACTTGCAGCACAAGCCAGATACCTGAGTCCACCACCTACAGGTAGAAGGAAAGAAACCGTTCTATAAAATTCCTCTCTGAACTTCAAATTGGAGCATGGCACAAAACCCAGACACTAGAATGAATGAGTGAATGAATGAATGAATGAATGAATGAAATTTAAAAGAAGCAGGATCAAATGCTCTCTAGCAAAGGCAGAAACTTAAAGGTTCATACACAGTTGTGTGACTTTGAAGCTTTATCTCTATAGAGTGCAAGACTCTAGTTTTGTTTCAGATGAGCTTAACCCCAAATGCTTTTGTTTTGACTTTCAGATGTTCCCAGGGTTAATTCTCCAGGAATGTGGAAAGAAAGGCTATTCCTGTTGCTTTCCCTCTTCTGAACCCACTCTTCCTGTATTTCAACACCTTGCTTAGCTCCTCTGCAACCAAGCTGCCAGGAGCTTCCTTTTAAGAGGTCTCTAAATTAACAATGCAAATTCCAAGCCAAAGAGGTCATTCTTCAGAAATGCTGTGTCCCCCAACTCCTCTGTGACCAGTATCAAAACCCTTCTGCTACCTCCCCACTCCCATGAGGTGCCACTTCTTGCCCTTGCTTTGATTTGTTTTTTCTTAATCACTTCATCCTATTCCTCATTATGCAGGACGCTAAAGTATTGTGGTTTTTTTTTTTTTGTTTTGTTTTGTTTTTTTTTTTTTTTTTTTTTTTTTTTTTTTTTTGTTTTGTTTTGTTTTAAATCACTTTGCTAGCCTAAGCCAGTCTGGGAGCCCACAGGCAGCCCCGTCATCCTAAAGAAACTTATACATAATAGAGCACTTTCATCCAATAAGCCAGTGGAGTCCCAATTCATCAGTCAAAGTTTTATGCAAGTGGCCCCCCTAAGTTGATAAATTCCCACAGTGCCTGTTGACCCAGCTGCCAAGTCCTCTTGCGGCAGGTGGTGTTTTCATGGCCACCCTGCCAGTAATACAAACTGTTTAGCGGCTTCATTGACCTTGTAGCTATTAACTGGGATACAGGCTGCACAAGGGACTAGTTCTCAAACAGGACATAATTTCTTAACACTAGGGGTCATGAACAAATATATGCCCTGTAAAAA